CAAAAATTTAACTCACCACTAATGAGATTCCATGGTGGACAAGGGAGGTGGAGCATACAGGTGGGAGTCTAATTTTCCAACATAGAGAGTGGGTCTTGAAGAAAAAAAAAAGTTAGGTTATTCCCTTGAGTGTCTATCAGCAGGATATCTCAGAAATGTATAAACTGGTATTTATTGGAATGGATAGATTGGGACTGGAAATAACAGGGACATGAAACACTGTTTTCGTTATACTATTGCCACAGAAAATGCATATTTCGGACTGGCTGGCGGGTGTCCCCTAAAACACAAAACCACACAACTCAAACATAGATCCAGCCAACAGTTTAACAACCGCTCTAAATCAGTGCACCACGTGCTGTATAATAAACTGCAGAATTAGTACTTCATGCTGGGTTACCAGTTAACCCTGAGTGTTAACAGGCCTAATCAAAGGATAAACAGACTACAAGCAAACTTTTAAAATGTGTGACATTTTTATACACAGCTTATTTTAGTAGTAGTAAGTGGATGAGTGAGCGTGATGATATAACCAAAGATAACTTGAGAGAGACAAGAACAGATTCAGCAGTTCTTGTTCCTCCTTGTCCATTACATGTGTATGTCAGGATAAGTCTTAGTGTGTTATCACTTTTAGGTGACTGGAACAATGCCTTTGGCTGTAGGAGGAAATTGGAAAAGTGTCGGCCAAGCTTTGTGAAGTCTGAGAGGCTTTTATTTACCAATTTAATAAATGACTCTGTGTGTGTACAATTCCTCTTACACAAGTTGTGTCTGAGCGCTGGCTTGCTCCTTCACAAACTGATAGCTCCATTTCAATGTAGAGTGTGCATCTGCCTGGTCGTTGGCAGAGGAGAAGGTGAGAAAGCGTAGCGTTTCCATAGCGAGGGACAGGTGGGGGGCGTGTCTTAGTGAGTCGCCAGAGTACAGGTAGACACCAACGACAGGCGAGCCATAGTTTTGAGTCCACAAGACGTCACCTGGAAGAAAAACACACAACTTACTGGAGAAGGTAGAGATGAAATAAAGACACAGACCAACCCTCAGACATTTAAAGGTAATAAAATATTCACATAGTAAAAACCACACACCTCTCCCTACCTGACTCTCTGTCAACCGTCACAACAAGACCATCGCCACTCGACACAAGATGGGCCATCTCTGCAAGTACAGGTAGGACAGGTCAGTTTTGGACAAGATGGAATGTGACCCCTTTGAGTTGTTTCATTTCATTGCTCAATCTTGAACAGCGTTTTCAGGTTGTTTTACAACATAAATATTAAACTAAAAAGCACTGCGAGCACACATTCCTGCACCAAGGTTGCACAATCCTCTAAATTTTAATACATTTTAAATCTATATCTCAAACTGAATGTGTATCCGAATACACACTCACAAACACTAATGTGCCAAATGTGCCAAATTTGTTTCATTCAAGTAAGTGCAGTAGTTCATGAGCAAGTAGACATAAAAAAAATCCAGCTAATTAACCTGCCATGTCAGTCTGTGTAACAGAATATATGTATGTGAGAAACGTACTGTAGTCTTGTTTCTCATCATAAGGTGGAGCTGAGTAATCATTGTATGTAGCGTTCCACCGCAGCTCCTGTGTCTTCGTGTCAAACATGGTGACCATGTATTCTGGAAAACAAACAGAAGTTCACAAACAGTAAGCCAAGATGCACGCAAACACCTCAGCCATATATATGTGTGTGCATGTTAGTGGGCACCTGTGCTACATGCCTGTGCGTCCAATGTAGAGCAGAGGAGTATTGGGACAAATGGATTCTGAGGAGGAGGTGGTTAAACTGGTTTGCTTCTCACCCGTTTCAGGATCCACCACGAACCACACATCCTGCTTTTTACCTGCAAGTGCACATACGCACACACACACAGAGAAAAATATTAGCAAACTGCATTGAAGTATGTCAAATATGTTTCTGTCCGTCTCAGGACACAACTATTATAAAGTAGCTGCTGTATTTCTCTGCATATCTATCTCTCACACACGCAAGTGCACACATAAGGTCTCACCTGTATAGAGAATACCATCAGAACTCCTGCAGGGAGCTGACTGAACCAGCTCTGGGATGGTGAAGGGAAGTTTCTGCAGATATATACAAACAATGGGTTCATAAGGTGGAAAATGACACACACATACACACACATACTGCAGTCATTACCATCAGGCCTTCCTTGTGCTTGCCACCCAGGACATACAAGCTGCCATCGTTGGGATCTGGGAGAAAACCCGGCCTACAAAAACAACATTCACACATCAGTCCACTGATTAGATTAGGTGTGCTAAATAACAGATCTAAAAATACTTAGCCTGAAAAAAAAAGACAGTTTTGAAATGTTTATATGCGTATGTGCAAACTTGCATGTGCATGTTACTCACTCTGTGAGGTAGACAGGTACTTGAATAATAGGGTCTGAAAGAAATGAAAGAACCATTCCATGAGAAATATTTTTACAAAATGAAAATAAAGATTGGGAAATAGTATTGATATTGATGTGTATGAACCTTCTCTTAGGGTCCACTTGATGTCTCCTGACTGTTTGGAGACAGCATGCAGACTCCCATCCAGTGTTGAGACAAACAGGAGGGATTCTGGGAGCGTTACGGATCTGACCCCTCCAACCTGATGGGTTGCCAGAGACAGAGAGACAGAGAAACTTCAGGCCAGCTGTCTGATAGGGAGTTCAGTCACATGTCATGTATCTGGGATTTCAGCATAGCTTATATACAGCATGTGTGCGTTTGTGTGAGTGGGTGTGTCAGGTCTGATAAAGGTTGACAGTCTAGTACTGCAGTAAGTTTCTGCTCTAGAGCAGGATATCCTTATCCCCCCTCCCAACACAATGCCCTATAATGTGTCCGTGCTTACCGCTCCCATATTTACCCACCAAGGGGTGGCAACTGGCAATACAGAACTGAACAGCACACAATAGCAAACACTGAGTCAAGACATGCAGATAGACGCGCGCGCGCACACACACACACACACACAGGCACGCACGCACGCGAAGTATTAACTTTCTTCAGGCAATTTGGACTAAACGTCGTATCATATCATGGCAACTTTACTGGAGCCTAAAATAGACACAGAAACGCAGTGGGATGCCAATTGCGCTCTCCGCTGCGCATAAATACGCACAGTATTAACAACAACACCACCACCACCACCACCACCACAAAGAAGGCACACAGTTTAACGTTACCTGAAATAGTTTGCCTTCCCAGGACAGTAGGAGAAGAGACAGCAGCAGGCGTCCCAGAGCCCCTATGACCCCCGAAACACTTTCTTTCATGGCCCTGAACAAACGGAGGACTAAAAGCTATTGAACTAAAAACAGAGGTCGAACTCTCTCTCCATTTCTAGCACGGGCTGGTCTGTCAGAAAAAGTTAGCACCGGCCGTTTAACATCGCGGAAGCAGCGCGGACAGTTAACAAACACGGTGAAATCCAAGCTACAAGTACCGTTTCAGACCCATAACAATAGCAACGCAACGGTTCGTGCCACTATTCCACATTTCCGTGTTGGGACGAAAGCGGTGACGTCAGGAGCAAACTGTCAGGCAAAGAGGTGGGCGGGGCACCTCTGCTCCTTCGCGCTGAGTGACAGGAGGCTCAGCCAATGGGTGGAGAGATATGAAGCAGAAGGGGAGGGGCTGCAGAAACGCCTGGAACACGTGGAAACGCACAGCAGGACAGTAGTGAACACAACAAGTGCGGCTTTTTGTGCAATAGAAAGCAGTGGAGGGCGTCATTGTTTGTTGTTCTCTCTATCTCTGCACTCCCCACAGTCCCATGCATACATGAACACCCACATCTCTGGTTGAAGTGCTTTTACATCAAGGTCTCTTAGTAGCTGTTTTTGAGGTACTATAGCCAACTTAAATTTCGGTTGTATTTCATTTGATGTACAGTATATACCTTATACTTCCACTTCACTATTTCAGAATGGAATATTATACTTTTTACTTTTTATTCCGCTACATTTTATTTGACAGGTAGTGACCGTTTAAGATACTGGTTTTGGGCCTACTATACATTTACAATATTTTAAGTTTATATATATTGTATGTATGTTTTGACATGGAAACAGTTTTGTGCTTGCTAACTTTCCTTCTGATTTGTTTTTTCTCTTTATGTAATGTAGGACTAAGTTGGGTCTTGTGTAATATATTATGTTTTCACATCCAGCATATGGCAACTACATGTTTGGTTACTTTCCTTTATTTTGTGTCTTTATAGACATAAGTAATGTATAATATTTTTGTCTTTATGTAATGTAGGCCTTTGAATTATAATTTTACACTCTTAAAGGGGTCATTTTCCAATTTAAATAGCCTACTCTTGATACATTTTTTAATTTTGGTGATAACACTAGCTTGCTTTTTCTTTTACTTAAAGGGGTACAAGGTGAACAATTTGGTACTGCACTTTCATAAACTGGAGCACTCACAATAGACGGATTTTAGATAGAATGATCAAAATCAAAGCAGCACGGGCCAAGATATCCTGACTTTAATCACCTAATATAATAATAATAATAATATACATAAAGTGAACAAAATTATAAAGGCAACTGTTTTTGCCCCCATTCGTCATCAGCTGAACTCAAAGATCTAAGACTTTCTCTATGTACACAAAAGGCCCTTTTCTCTCAAATATTGTTCACAAATCTGTCAAATTCTGTGTTAGTGAGCATTTCTCCTTTGCTGAGATAATCCTATCCGCCTCACAGATGTTTATTATACAACTGTTTACAAAGGCTGAGTACTACTTCCCAGACTACTAAACTGAGTGTCATAGTGTAAAATGTGTAAAATCCCTTTCAATAAAAATTTTAAAGGATAACCTTTACCTACAATGGACTACTTTTACAGAGGTATTGCTATTTTTACTTAAGTAAAGGTCCGAAGTGTTATTCTGCATGCACAGTAAAATTAGATATTCACATAGAAAATAACGTAGTAAAAAGAAAAGTCAAATAATTACAAAAAAACTTTATTGCTCTGCAACATATTTCCCTTCAGAAATGTCAGCCAACAGTTAACCGCAGTCCTTTCCCTTTGACCAAAATAGTATTCACAAAATACTATTCAAAGTACCTTACGTAGGGACTGGGACAACATAGCAATGATATGCAATGATGACAACAAATTAAATAATACTGGCAGGCACTTCTGTCATTTGAGGTATGCACAAAATAAATGAAACAAACTGCATCATAGAATGGCCTTCAAAGGCATGTGCGAGCTCTACACACAGTGCAGTGCCCAGGCCTTTGGCTCGGTGTGGTCTACTGGTGGAGCACGCTGTCAGGTTTGGGATATCCAAACAGCTTAAAGTCTGGTTCGTACAGCTTGTACAGTTCTCTCCTCATTGAAATGGGAATCTGTGTAAACCAGTCTCTTTCCCAGCTGGCTGCGGTGCGATTTCGTGCCCCTGAAGGGAAGCGTAGCAGATGATCCACCTCCATTAGCTTCAGCAGATCCTCCGCGTCTGTTTCTAAGGTTTCTAATTTTCCAATGAAGTCATACTTCACCTGGCATGGATGGCATAGACGGTAGACCTGCAACACGTACAAAGAAGGCCTACAGTTTTAAAACTGCAAAAGTTTGTGTTTATGCTTGTGACTTTGAATGCAATATCTGCCTTAACATGGCTATTTCTACTTTGTGTGTACACTCTGAGAATAAAAAAAATAAAATTACAAGAAGATAAGATTTATTTTCTGACACAAAAAGTGCAAATGACTAAATGAATCTTAGGTCTTGGAAAGAAGTCCATATTATGCTGGTAAGGTCTTTTAAAAATAGGTGTGGAAGTGGCACATGACCAACAGCTAGTATCAGGTAGGTATGATCTAATGAAATCGAAAAAATATTGTCACACTGTAGTAAGTGTAGCCTTATATTGCTTTTGTGCATGTAGCTGAGAAAGACTAATACCTGCCGCCAGTGTTCGTTGAAGATATTCTCCCTCTCGGTCTCTGGATCCAGAAGGTATGTGATAAACTGCTGAAATGTTGGTTTAATTCCCGCTGCATACGCCTCAGCCGCTGTCTCTGGCAAACTGCCAGACACATTACCGTAACGACGCACCATGACAGAACCAAACTGCCTGTAGAAGTCCTCATTGGGCCTAAAAAGACACACAAATACACACACTTTAATAATTCAAGAATGAAGGGACTGCTGCTTAATCAAAATTGAAGCACATTCCTTAGCCTCACACTCGATACAGACACCCACACACACAGTCGCACACTTACTCTCTGTCTACCCATCCACTAATAGGCACACACCTTCCAAACTTGTTCCTGTAGGCTGAGATAAGACGAACAAAAGGGTCTCGTACAAACAGAAACTTTGTGTAATGCTGGAGCTTGAGTGCCATCAGGTGGCGAGACAGAGAACCATAATGGCGCCAAAACCTGGTAAAAGACATAACAAACAGCACACAACACCTGAAAGCGGCTCTTTAGTGTCTTCCTTCTTAAAGGTACACTGTGTAAGCTAAGGCCAGAATTTTAGTTTAAAAAAATGAACTAACATGAACAACAGAATGTGAGGAAGAAACTGTGTGAGCAGAGGAAAGGATGGTGACCATGGAGGAGCTGAGGTTAATAAAGCAAATTAGGGATGCAAACTAGTCCTTTTAAGCTAATGATGTTTCATTTGGATGTGCAAATGCAATGCTTGGTAATTCTCCAGAAATCTTGTATAGAAAAAAAGATGCATCAAGATGCCTCATTAATTGTTTAATAATTGCATTGCGAATCAAATCAAATCCTGAGGTGCCAAGGGATTCCAACCACTAGTCGATATTTGATGTGGCTGTTTTTTTGCTACTATGTTATTGCTTAAACTGAGCTAAGCAAACCTAAACCCAATGTAAACTATAGACGCAATAGGTGAAAACAGCAGTATTATTTAGGCCGGCTTGAACAGTTTAGTTAAATTCTTGCCCTACTGTCAGTTAGTTGATGTGAATTGAGAAACAGTGTGGACAGACTGGAAAAATGTCAATCAGTTCACCATATTGTAACCACCTGTCATGACATTTTTGAAAGGTTGAGGTTTTGAAAGTTCCCTATTATTATATTTTTGAGGACATTGCAAGGTTTATAACATGTGTCTAACTCAACACACAATTGTACAAGACAATCTTGCAACAGTCTGCTGCAATTAGTAAATCATACAATTCTTGCATAAGAGGAAATGCTATACCGTATTTGTTTGGAACTTGTGGCCAGGAATTACACAGTGTACCTTTCCTCATAACTGTAATGCTTTTGAGTTTGTCAAAATCCAAATTCTGTAGGTGTTTTGTTTCATGCAATACTAAATAATCTGAAAATAAAGCCACACCAGTCCTTGAGGGGAAAAAGATTCAGATAGAAAAACATAAGATCAGATTCTCATATCCAAACACAGACAGCTCCCGAGGGGAAGAGAAAGCTCTGTCTGTTTTGCCACAGCAAGCTCCGCCTGTCGTTTCCACTCTCCTCTTCCAAGTGTCAACTTAGTAAATAACTCCTTTAGCTCACGGTTAGTTTGTCAAACAGAGTTTCAGCATAACTGAATATATAAGTATTATCGCTGAACTGATCCATGTGACTTTTCATTAATTAATGCCCCTGTGGAGAAAGAAACAAGACATTTCTACAGAGAGAAATCATAAAGTGATTTACAGATGGAGTTGCTATGTTTTCTGTAATACTTGAAATTCTGAGACCGCAATTTTCAAAAATAGCTTTTATGGGCTATTTGGTAAGAAAGAGACCCTTTGATATGGTCAGACTGACTCACTTTCATTTCAGAATTGCAAAGTTGTCTCATACTTCTGGTTAAACACCCTGACTTACTGGTAGATTTTCCTTTGTTGTCATAGAGCATGTGTTCTGTTTTAATAGATAACATTAAAACTTATTAAACTTATATAAGAGTATGTACATATATTTGTGTGAGTGTGTGTCATACTTGGCAAAAGTGAGGTGGAGAGAGGAGTTATGTACGAGGTCAGGAGGTACAGCCTCTGGGTCAGTGTAAGGTTTTCCTGAAGAGGGCGAGATCAGAGACTGAGACAGAACCACCATCACTCTCTTCCAGTTGGTGCACGCTACCTGAACAAAGAACAACGAAAGACAGGAAGAAAAAGGAAATACAAGGTCAGAAAGACAAGAGGGATTATGAAAGTGTGTGAATGTGTCTTTGGCATCTTAAAAATGAAGAAATGTGGTTAAAAGTTTTCTTATGCTTCCATCCACACACAGAAAAGTAACTCACCACCCACATGTTCATACAGACACACACACACACGTTTGTTCCTGGATCCCTGTGGGTACGTTTAATTGACATAATGCATTCCCTAACCCCTTACCCTAGCCTTAACCACTACAACAACATGCCGAACCTTAACCTTAATTCTAACCTGAACCCTTAAACCAAGTCATAACCCCCCCCCCCACACACACACACACACACAAGGCAGCTGTACCTTGGGAACATAGCAGTAGATAATCTGGTGTGTGTCATCCACTATCAGATGATCCAACTCCCTGTTGGGGATCTGCTCAAATGGCCGAGTCCTTCCGGTGAATTCCACTCCGTCCTTTCCTGAACACATATCCAGGAGCCTCTTCTTCCTTGCCTCCTGTTCGCTAAAATCTACATCAGTATGACTCCTCTCTGTCTCCTCATTCTGCTTTGGTTTCTCCTTCCTCTGTTCTTGTTTGTTCTTCCCCTCATCCTCTGTATGTTCCTCAGCTGCTCCTCCTGTCTCTTCAGGGTGCATTGTTGTCCTGGAGGAAGTAGTGGGGACAACGAAGGAAGAGCTGGTCTCAGATCTGCTCGTGGACGCAGAGTGTGAAGGGCCTGTTGTCGCCTGGCGGTAAGACTCAGAGTGAAGTGCCTCGTGTTTGGGGTTGTGCAGTGGGTAGAAGGTGAAGCCCCCGACATCGTCCCAGTAGAGAATGATCAGCAGGATCATAAACAGAGACCCCAGGACAAAAGCCACTCGTAGACCACGCCATATTCCCATGGTTATTCGAGATCCAGAGCCGTGATTGGTGAAGAAAAGCAGAAGAGGTTATCTCAGCTCCATAGTTGCCATCTATTGCGGAAAGAGACACTTCCTGCTTGCCAGATGCAACTGAAACAAAGAGGAAGTGACTAAGGCCCTTGTTTTGCTTTGCTCCAGCCTAAATGAAGTGAAAAGATTAATGAATCAAGCACAAACTGATTATACAAGACTTAAATATTTGTATATTCCAGAAGCGTATTTAGACTAGACCCCAACTGATAAATTGGCATACTGATATTATTAACCGATATGAGCTATTTGCAGATAAATCAGTATCTGTTTTCATAACAGCCAATAAATGACAAAAAAGAAACGGAAGACAGATACTTCAATCATGTTAAGTTGTCGTAGCATAGTTGTTTGTCTGTTTGGAACAAATCCACAACAAAACATGGCAATCAGCTGTACTTTTGTTTTAAGTATTATTTATAATAATAAAAACATTTATTTTTCAGAATATCAGATTTTAAAATCCTAAATTGTCAAAATTGGTATCTGTCTAAACGCATATTGGTCTGGCTCCTAATATGGTATTAAAAGTACTAAAAAGTATATACTTTTTATTAAAGGGGCACTATGTAGTTTTCAGCGGTCACTAGCAGTGTGGTTATAAGACTGTAACCAGGCGTGTGATTGTACACATGCCTGAATCATAGGCTTGAACTCGAGCATAATCCGAAACACAACCGCTTTCATGCAGGTTTTCACACAGACATGTTCCGGCTCTGTTACTTCAGCGCTCCTGGCTCAGAGGCAGATCAACACCGGCTCGGTACCTTTCATACAGCCTGTGAGCTGGCATATTGGCACAATACTCCAGGGAAAAAGGGCAGTGTAAAAGCAGCTATAACCAGACAGGGAGACAGCTTCACACAACATGCTAGAAACTAAGGTAAACTCCCACTGCAACGTTACATTTTTATCAACTTGAGGTTGAAGTAATCCATGCTCATTACATAACGTTACATTTACTGCACTTAGGTTACATGATGCATCGTCCTTAGCTCGCCTGCCACTTTTTAGTAACTAACATTACTACTTGTGAATCTTACACTGGAGGCTCAGCAATGTCAACACAGCTAAATGTAGGCTATTGGATGATAATATAACAAACAGCGGCAGATCAAAGCTAACAATAGCTGTCTATAGCTGCTACACCCCGACCCGATACCTTCACATTAAAAGCAGAATAGTGGCTGTTGCAAGCAACAGAGAAAACAGGCGTGTGCTTTATTTCTAAGTGAAGCTAAAGTCAATTGACATAAGGCAGTAAAAATTCAATTTAAAAATAAGTGATTTCGTTGAAAAACTACATATAGCTCCTTTAAGCCATAGGTCATAAATACTGGCTGTTTACAAAAGTCCATATTACACAATGAAATAAAGAGCTAAAAACACAAAGCCACTGTCATGCACTTAACTGATCTACAAAACTTTCATTTTATCATGATGAAAACGTTTTTGTTCCATAATTCTTCAAATTTGAAACATAATGAGTTAAAAGCATTTTTAAAGAGTTTGGTCTCATGTATGTAGGTAGATTTATTTTATTACAATATAGCAGTGTGAAATTAATTTTGTAATTTCCTTCTGCTACGCAGCTGACAATATAGCCTATATTAATATAGAAGTTATAAAAAGGTAAACAGAAAATCAGGGGGATACAGTTCATAGCTCTGGACATCGGATGTTGTGCAATTTGGTACACATTTACCAAATGGCACAAAATAATGTAACAAAGTGTTTATGTATGTAAGAACTATTTTTTATATATTTTTATATTTAAGAAAAAAATTGAGGTACTATTTTATGGTTCGACTCCTTTCAATTTCAGAGGGAATTATAGGCCTATAAAATTTTACTCGACCACATTTTACTTGGTGCCTAAAGTTACTGGATAACGAGGTTTTATCATCGTCTCACAAAATACAACGCATTCTTATAAAAATATAAAAATTGTAATATTATTAGCATAGAGTATAGCCAAAAAGTAAGACTTTATAAGAATTACTCAAGTGGAAGTAAAATACCTAATATCATCATAACATTTTGATAATATGCAGGACTTTCACTTAGTAGGCTACTGGAGTAATCTGACATTGTGCTGTTGCTACGTTTTTGTAAATTCTTCCTGGGATGTGGAAGACAAATTATTTAATTCAGCTTGTGGCGGGCATTAGCCTTAAATCTTTTACATTTGAAAGTGCGAACAGGACCATTTTAACAGCATGTGCTATTAATGGTTTTGACCAGTGTGAGTTTGGCCAGGGGCCGTGGGAACCTGAGGCTCCACCCGGGGCTCTCAGCTGTCACAGAGATGTGAACAAACGGGGCTGTGGGGGTGGAAGCAGCTTCGTCCAGAGCCTGCTGGAGGGTTTACACCCCTTATTGTCTGTCCCATAAAAACATCTGCTGTCAGGGAAAATGTGGAAAAAATACGGTCCTAATAAAACAAAAAAAAAAAAAAAAAAAACACCCAGACTGGTGGAGAGCAAAGCAGAAATCCCTACGGCGCATACTTTGCCAGAGAAAATTATTGGGTTTTTTTCTGTGGTGTTTCTTTCTTTCCACTAGGTTTTAAATCTAAACTCCACGTTGACTGGAGGGCCATATTTTGAGGAATAGCCTAAACGTCCACAAAGTCTCTCGTGTCTTGGCACGCGCTTTACCCACAGACACACACACACGTGCGCACAAACACGCGCAAACGGAAAAAAACATTAAAATATTCCTCTGCGAACTCTTGCATGTGTCTGTGGAGCTCAATGACAAGTTTGCAGTGTACGTTCAGTAGTAAGACGTCTATTCATTAATAATGGTGCAGACAGTTTTCTATCACCATTTCCCGATGCTCGGTCGGAAAACTACCTTACTTTACAGGACTCTAGTTACAATCCAGTCCTTCCTCCGGCCGCACCGGACACAGTCCCTCCTCCGTGCAAACCGGACACTTTCCTTTTTACGCCACAGCAGCAGCCGACAATAGAAAGCCTGAACTTGTTTTTCTCTGCTGTCTTTTTCTTCTGACGAGCCTCCTCATCACGCTCCCTTTGAGGGGTAGCCTAAGAAAGCCCGGTTCTGTTCCCTTTATGCCCTTCACACCGGGAGCATCACGGCAACCAGTCTGAAGATGTACCTGTCTTGTCTGAGAAAGAGACACGACCGGAATCTTATGTTTTATCTTACCCGGTAGATGAGCTCCATGGTGCCGGTCGGTGAGTCCTTTGTCGCCTGCTCGGTGTCCCCCTCTCTGTCTGTCCGTCAGCCCAGTGATGGGACCGGGCAGGCACGAGAGGACTGTGGCGGTTCCCCTCTCTAGAGAATAAAGTCTCGCGAGATGTGGGGGAAGCCAGCTACCCACTCTTTCACACACGCTCCCGTTTTACATACCACACCGCACATGCTGTCGGGCTACTGCCCGGACTCAGCCAGAGGATTCACGATGAAACCATAAACCCTTCTCTGGTTCTCAGAGTCAAAGCCCTGGGACCTAAGGCCGGCCCCAGAGGGCGCTGCCGCAGAATTACCAAAAATAACGTCACTGTAATAAACAGCATGGAAATAGAGAGGACACTATTGGAAACACATCCCCGTTAGGAATAGGGGATGGGGTTGGGGGTGGATGAAAAGTTATGCATAATATAAATTAGCCTATAAATTAAGATACTCATGGCAAGTCAAAATTATGATATAAGTCACTATTAAGAGACGGGCTACGATCAAAATAATGATAGCCCACTAAATCAAGAACATTAGAAAGTCAAAGTCATGAGATAAAAAATATGAGACAGGCTACAGAGCAACGTCAAATTATAAGATGCTAAGTGATAAATTATGTTAGGCTAAAAAAGTTTTTCATCATTAATATAGCCAGCCATTAGAAATAGGCTAGTTAATCGAAATTATGAGACACTTAATCAAAATTGTGATATACTGAATTAGGATTATGAGAAACTAATTCTAAATGATGAGATAGTAAATCAAGATTTAGATTTAATTTGTATTGTCACCATGCCTACTTAAAAACATACACATATAGATTCTGAGTCATGTATGTTTACATTTGAGTGACTTTTTGGCCAACATAACAATAATTAATCGAGAGGCTTCCGCATCAATCCCTCATAATCTTATTCCTGGTCAAATATAACTGACAAGTCAACTAAAAAATCTAAGTAAGCCTAAATAAAACAACTTAGACTTTCTTTTAGGTATCTGGGCAAAAGCAGTACAATATATAAAAGATGGACATTCATCTCACCAAACTCTCCGATAAATGCAGAAAACAAGTCTAATATGTACTATTTATAGCCTTACTTACAGTTACCATCCAGTTAAGTGTCAGAGAGTCAGTTGATTGGTTATTGTTGAGGTTCGTAGTTTTGTTTTTGTTGCACTGGGCTGTAATATAACTCAAGAGCTGTCTCTTAATGAGTATTTATAACATCTGTGAGCTGATGGGAAAAGGACGTGAGCAGCTGTGGTCTCCACATCAAAAGAACGAGGTGGCTCACCGGCAGTGTTCTAAAAGTTAAGACTACACTGATCCTGCTACTAAAGAAAGCCAGACATTTCAGCGATGACATTTTGTCTAGAGTCCATCAGACTTACAGTTTGACCCCCCTCAGTGTGGACAAGATCAATATTTGGGTAAAAATGTGTGATTAACTTCCCTATTAACTACCCAGAAAATATTTATAACTTCTCTTAAAATCAAAGGCTTGTCATAGATTTTAGAAGGAGTATAATGCTGTGTTATCTTGAGTCATGGTTCAGATGGCATGTAAGTATGAAGGTACATTTGGGGACAAACCTTTTCCACCAAGTTCCTATCTGGTATATATAATCTTCTATAAATTAGTTGTTAGCTGAATGTTCTGTTCAGTTTTTTGAACATCACAGTACACATCTGTACAAGATATACTGTACATACCACACTATGGAAAGCCACCCTCGTCAGAAAAGGGAAAAAAAGATATAGTAGGCCTAAGAAAAACAACTTAGAGCTTCTTTTTGGTTTGTGATCAAAACTTTCTGAAGAGGTTTTAAGGAACCTTTAAGGATGACTTCACTATTTCTAAAATCCTGGCTATAACCTTAATAAGCAGTGCAGTACATAAAAAGCCTGGACAATGATCTAACCAAACTGGTCCTTAACTGGCTGATAATATCTTCTATAAATAAGTTGTTAGTTAACTGTTCTGTTCACCTTGTCAAACATCACGGTGAACATCTGTGCAAGAGAGTGTGAACATACATTGGATCAGGTTAATGATCTCTGCAGCCTATAGTGTCAATATTCAAACAGAGAGTGGATCAACACTGTGTGACCTCACATTCCCATTAGAGATTCACCATGCAGACTAATGAACCTAAATGGTGCAAGCACATCAAGAACTAACTGTTCCCCCTATCATGACAATGTTGAACATAAAATGCACAACTGTACTGTGATTATGGACATTAGTTGCGCCAACCCACTAGAAAACTTCCTGACAAAAGTCTTATAAAATAATAAATATTGTGCCTTATTTTCCAAAAGCCGATTAAACAACTTGTGAGTCATGGTAGGCTTAATAAATGTATGCTGAAACTTCAGCAAGACTTTCACTTTAATGACAGGCCAGCTGTGCAGAAGAATACTGAGAACCCCGTGATTTCGGCTGCATAAAATATTTAGGGCCACAAATTACACAGTATATGTGAAGCAGCGAGGGAGGTTGACTTATAAATATTTCTTACTATGGGGAAAGATAGAAATATTAAAATCACCTGAGCAGAAAGACATTTCCCCTCAAGCACTAACTCAGATCCGGTGACCTCTAGTAGCAGCTGGACAATGTGTCAGCAGCTGAGATTAAGCTGAACCCACACAGATGTGCTACTGACTGCAGTTTCTGTTAATCTTTTTCATATCCTGTTTATGAGAAGTGATTTGTTCCAAATAACAAAAGGTTTATACTGCAGATAAGCAAATGACAGAACAAAAGTGTGAAAGTTTTTAGATAAACTGACTAGGATGTATTACATACAGAACACATCAGGGGTCCTAAACTACATTTTGAAACTACAGAATATTTCTAAGCAGACTTTACATGGGCCAATTTGAACAAATCTGATGTTATTTTTATTAGCCTATATCACTGTGTGAACACTAGATCTTTAACTTGAAAATGCACTCAGACCTCACTGAGGAGTGATGGTTAAAAGGTTTAAATCTGTAATTCCAGAAAAGTAATTGCTGAATGCTAATAGTAAACTTATCTCCCACACCCAAGTTAGAGTCTTATTTTTGTTTCAGAGCTGGAATTATCATGGTAACTTTTGCAGTAGTAGAGGACACAGTAAGTTGGGCTGGTAGTTTACTTTTTTCCAGTGAGGATTTTAAGAGTCACAAGGTCAGCCTTTGCTTTTTACTTTCTCCAGTGCCAGCTGTTTGGTCATTTATGGTAGAGGGAGGGTCGTGCATTTTTCACTCAGGGAGGCAAAAGGGAAAATGTGTAGTTCTGGGGTTAAGAAAAAAAAAAGTCACACCTCAGCCACCCCCCATCTCTGATAAATAAGGGTCTCTAACCGGGTTTTGACGCTATCACTGACACCTATTACTGGAGGGAACAGCAAGTGCAGTTTAATAATACTACAGGTCACTGAATTCTGGGAGCTACAAAACTATTTGTTAATCGTTTTAATAAAGTAGTCAGGCAATAATTTACCTTTTCCCATCATTCTGTGAGAAATGGTTATCTGATTTTGTGCAACACAACAGTGAAAGTGAAAGGACTTGGTTACCTTGCTGAGAAGTTGGTGTTCAGCCTGTCGCCAGCAGCTCTTCATCAAACAGCTCACTGTGACTGCTCATGACTGTCCTATTGATATTTTGCCAGATATATTTCAAACTCATCCGCTGTCAAAAAAATGACCGTTGTCTTGTTTTGTAGACATTTTTCTGAAGGACAGAAGGTTAATCTCAATGACAAACACACCGTATTTCCTGAGACTACTTCATAATAAATGTCAGCTCGTGTTTAACCGGGTAAATGATTTGAGTGTGAAGCTGCAGCAGGAGGAAATGATCGGTTTGCATTAGAACTTACCTACTTAATACCTAGTGCATTTCGCCACAGACTCACAGCAACTATGTACATATTGCAATAGACTATTTTTCCGTGATTGTGCGGAACGAATGGAAAACTTTGGCCAGTTGAGGAACACTGAAATGTGCCATTAGCCACAGCAGAATCAAAGAGCAGTAATGTTTCAGCAATTACAATCTGCTTAATTCTGATTATATGATAAATGACCGATGTGACAAAGAATCACGTCAAACTGGGTTTCAGCTGTTAGAACACGTTAGCATTTTTCCACTTATGTATGTAGATAACACATGTAGTCCAGTATGCTTAATAGATGCATCTATATCAGTTTAAAGTGATGTAAAACAGTATAATACAGCAAGTCCTCCCATTTGAGAGGCTTGGACCTGAAAATGTTCGATAAATTAAAACTAAATTAACTGATTATCAAAATAGTCGGTGATTAACCTTCTGTCAATCAACTGAGCGATTAACTCAGGAAAAAAGCAAACTACCATCCTGAAGGAGGCTGTGCTCAGACGCAGTCTCTACCCTGCACCGTCGGGTAGCCCTTCTCTCAGGTCTGTTACTGCTACTCCAACACAACACTCGGCAGCTCACACACTCCATCCTCAGTCCGCACGGACTGTGGAAAGTCCGTTTTTATCTCTGGTCCCATTCCCACAGTCGGTCGCGGTGCTGGCCGCTTCAGTAGACTCCTTGGCCTCCACGACTGGCTCCAGTCCGCCTGCAGGGCTCACGGTGTGTGTTATGTCGATAACTTTAATATTTTCTGGCAAAGAACGTCTCTTTTTAAGACAGACGGACTTCACCCAAACAAACGGGGCTCAGAAATGTTAGCTGCGCACATACAGCATGTGGTGCGGTCCTCCCCTCAGGACTTACGTGAATGACTAATCATTCATGAAGCACACCTGGACACACCACCAGTCACTGAACAGATCTCTGCCTCACTGCCACAAACAACTGTCTCCACCTGCTGGCATGTAAAGCCGTCTGCTCCCAAGACTTCTATTCCTGTCATCATCACGCATAGACCAGTAAACCGAAATGTGCACATCACACACAGAAATAATAGTAATCTTATAAGGAGTAGGACAATTTTATGTTTTTAACTGAATCCTGGTTGCAAATGAATGACTATAGCCAGCTAGCTGAACCGAGGGTCAGTGGTCGTAGTGGTGGGCTAGTGAGCATGTATAGGAAAAATTGTCATCAAGTACGCTGTGATGAATTTAACTCCTTTGAAGTTCTCACTCTTACAGCTGGAGGGCTGCAACCTATCAGATTTGTAATAATTTATCGCCCCCCAAAACCGCCGGGAGGATTTTTATCAGAACTTCCTGAATTTTTATCTACTAGTTTTAAATTATGACAGAATTGTTCTTTATGGCGATTGTAATATTCATGTTGATGACCCCAACAATGTTAATGCAACTAACTTTTTAAATATGGCCACTTCTTTTAACTTCAAACAACATGTCAAAGGGCAAACACATAACCGTGGTCATACACTGGACTTGGTTTTTACCCTGGGTGTCAGCATTTCCTCTGTGGAATTAGTGGACATGACCATATCTGACCACAGATTGTTTTTTAGTATTGTTTTTAGCTGTGATTCACCTGTTACTCATACCGCCTCACCAAGCTCCATGTGTTCTCGCATCTTTAATGAACAAAGTGTTTCAAAGTTTTGCACATTCTTTCAGAGCCAAAGCCAACACCTGTCTGATTCCAACACCAACAATCTGGTCGATCACTTCAATCATATCTGCTTGTCCTCACTAAATATTACTGCTCCTCTAAAGGTCAGGCCTACGTCTACAACCCTGGAAAAATGACAGCATTCACAGCCTCAAAAGGGAATGCAGGAAAGCAGAGCGCAGATGGAAAAAATCCAGTCTCCAAGTCCATTACCTCAGTCTGAAGGATTTATTAATTAACTACAATAACATGGTTAAGGATGCGAGAACACACTATTTTTCTGAACTCATTACTACACATAAACAAAATCCCAGGTTTCTGTTTAAGACTGTGGATCAGCTGGCAAACCCAACCCCTCCTTGTGCCTCAGCTGGAAGTAATGATGACTGTGAATTATTTTTATCTTGTTTTACCAATAAGGTGGTGTCAATCAGAGCCTCTATTACCCCCCACTGCCTCTTACTCAGAGGTTCCTCACCAGCAACAAGAGAGTTTTAACCAGTTTTATCCCATCGACTTGTCTGAGCTTTTAAAAACAATATCACAAATGAGAGTGTCCTCCAGCCCACTTGATGTAATACCTACAAAATTTTTACTGAAAGTAATGGATTCTGTTGGCCCCCATTTGATCTGTTTTCAACAGCTCCCTATCTACTGGTTGTGTCCCTGATTATTTTAAAACTGCTTGCGTGAACCCACTTTTAAAGAAACCTGGTTTAGATCCCTCCCTCCATCAAAATGTTAGACCAATTTCAAAACTGCCTTTTATTGCAAAGATTCTAGAAAGAATTGTGTCCAAACAGCTGCTCACTGTACTGGAAAATAACAAAATATTTGAACAGTTTCAGTCTGGTTTCACAAAGTATCACAGCACTGAGACTGCCCTGCTTAAAGTCACCAATGACTTTTTAATGTCTGCCGATGAAGACATGTGCTCAGTCCTTGTACTCCTGGACCTTAGCGCTGCTTTTGACACCATTGATCACAACATCATGTTAGAGACAGACTGAGGCACTGGGTGGGGATCTCTGGTACTGCTCTAGAATGGTTTTCATCCTACCTGTCAAATAGGAAGTTCTGCATGTCTGTAAACAACTATGTCTCTTCATTCTGTCCAGTTAAATATGGTGTGCCTCAGGGGTCGGTCTTAGGACCCATTTTGTTTTCCTTGTATCTGCTTCCCCTTGGACATCTTATCCATAAACATGGCATTTCTTTTCATATTTATGCTGATGACACACAAATATACTTGCCCGTCAGATCCACAGACCCTGGAATGCTGAGTTCACTTACCGACTGAACTTTGTGAAGTTAAAAAATGGATGTCAAATAATTTCCTCCAGCTGAACTCAGACAAAACAGAAATCCTGGTCATTGGGTCTCAGCAGATGGCAAAACAAATACTGCCATCTGCTGGTTCCCTAGTAAATCACATTAAGCCTTTTACAAAGAACCTTGGTGTCTGGTTTGATAGTAATTTAAATTTCGAGCAACACACCACAAAGCTTGTTCAATCATGTTTTTATCAACTTAGAAATATAGCAAAAATTCGATCTATGTTAACTTTTAAGGACATCGAGACCATTTTACACGCCTTCGTCTCATCACGCCTTGACTTGACTTTATTTTATCCCTTTTATTTTATTGTATTTTACTTATTTTATATTTATCTTAAACGTGTATTTTAGTCTTTTCAATGTTTTCTTGCTTTTATATTATTGTCTTTACACTTGTTAAAGCACTTTGTAACTTGTTTTTGAAAAGTGCTCTTCAAATAATTATTATTATTATTATCATCCCTAACTTTGTACAGTATTTTAGCTCTACCGTTGATAATGACTAGAGAACAGATGACTCACTCTATAATAACCAAACACTAAGACACAGCCAGGTAGTATTGTGTTTGAATGTTTATTTAAAGTTAATCCTGCTGCGCACCCCCTCCCTGTGTGAAAGCATAGTCTGAAAGGAGGAGGATACAGGCCACTATAGCGCCACATCAGCACATTTAGTAACAAGGCTACTTGTTTAGTCACAAGACCTCCATCCCCCACTGTTATGGCACTCTGTGCTGCCCTGTGATAACACACTAGCATGGTGAGGCTAGTTCATGTACAACCTCAGGAAGAACGTCCAATAAGAGACGGGGCTGAGATTAGACAGTGAGTATCTCCAATTTACCGAATAGAGAAAAAAAAAAGGAGGAAGTATTACTAAATATCAAGTTCCACAGAGAAAAAAAAAAGGGGCGGATGATGGTGAGAGACAGAGAAAATATTCAATATAAAGTACTCTCTCTAGTCCCTCGATGTGGCTGCTGATCCGCAAGGCGTGCTTTGATGATGTCACTAAAGTTGAATGTTGAGGCTTGTGATCATGAACCCCAAGATTCACAGCGTGGTCGTCGTCCTTCTCCAATCAATGACACAGCTCCTCTCTCCTCCTTCCACACAAAAACGGATGGACTGACAGAGAGCGATAGAGAGAGAACAACAAGTTAAATAGAGTATGTCAGTGTGTATTCCTATTTTGGATCATTTACCAGGAAGGAAAACAGGCAATAATACACCAGCAGTGGTTGCTAACACTAAAAGCGCCATTCATTATACATGGCAGATGCAGGAATGTGACAAAATGTCTCCCATGTTTTTTTTTTTTGGAGTACACATAAGAACTGCCATTCATCAAATTCAGCAGCTGCACAAGGAATGAAAGAGCTGGCACACAGAAGTTACGAAATGCATCAGTTTTCCACTGAATAAATAGTCCATGAAAACTGCAGACAACTTGGACTCTGGGTAACCCAAAGTGATGGATGACATTTTTACTGAAAGGCATTGTTGACATTTGTCATTTAGAAATAAAGCGTTTCCAATAAATCTAAATGTTGTGTTGGACATATCAAACTGTTTTCACGTTTTACCTGCGTAGGGGACTACAGATCTCCTAGTGGAATGATTTCTTCGTTGATAAAAAACTCAATGGTCTCCTCCTCCCAGTCCTCCACGTTGCTGTCCAGCTCATCAGTGTCCACTCCTGGAAGACAGAAATAAATGTCAGTCATGAAACATAATGACTACGGAGGGAGGCAAGCAAATATGTACAAAAGTGAGAGAGGTCCCACCTCCTCTGAGCTCGAGCCGGATGCTCTTCTGTTCCTGGTAGATCTGTTGTGCCGTCTCCCTGTAGCGACGGTACTCCTCCATCATGGACCTGCGCTTGTCCACCAGCGCCTACTCACAAACACAGAACGTTCAGATTCATAAAAGAGAATGATGTTTGGGATTGTAAACAGTTCTTATCCCTCTCATTCCTCAAATATCTAAAGCAGAAAGAGGGCTCAGTAAATGGTATGTTTGTCTCTAGCATGGAATCTAAAAACATGCTAAGACATTTTGAGAGCTTTTAAACGAGACACACATTAATGAATCACAACTTAAAATCTGTTTAGCCTGAGGACAACTGGCAAAAAAAGGACAAATGCTTCAATACAGATACTTATACTGTACGTTAACACAGTTTTAACCGGTTACTGACGGTGCAGAAAAT